CACAGACTCGCAATCCTCCAAAACCACCACCACTAATATCGGTTCGGGCGGTACGTAATGCGCTGGGCATACGCGTGCCTCCTACTCATGACTCCTCAATTTTCGGGTCCCTATCTTGGCTAATATCTCCCTCTAAACAGGGATGATTCGGGTATTGCCACGCCACGTCCGAGGCAATCGATGGAGCCGACGGCTTATCAGATAAAATGAGCGCACACGAGTCTGGAGAGTCGGGCCTGCATGATCGAAATGGGTAAGAAAACTAGGGTGACATCATCATATATATATTAAGAATAAACATAATATAGAATTAGCAAGAACACACTTTGAACTCTTTGTTTGTTACAATAAAGAGAAACACGTCGACACAACAATGGCCATTTAGAGCACGAAAAAAGCAAAACAAATCATCAATGGACAAAAATAGCAGGCGGAAAGAAAAGAAGTACGGGGTACCAGTGATGCCCTCCCCAAACATCCACCCTTTGAACTCTGACGTCGTTAGAAGAAGCCCTGGCCTGGTCTATTTACATCATAATTTGTTATCTTCATCTGTCACTGTATAGGTTTAACGCTCCTTTCAAACCGTAAGATTATTTAAGAGTCTTTGAAACCCATCTCCGATAGGATATTTTAGTTTTTTTTAATGTACGGCACTTACAACACAATGGGGTCATATACATGTCAAAGAATACAAGAGTTACAAGAGAATAACAAATATAAAAAAGGAGGAGAGATAAGGATGATATATCTGTTTTATGGGAGAGAAGAAGCAAACTACACCAAATCACCCGCCAATCACTCACTCGTAGTCTTCTCCGCACTCATATCAACAAGGTTGCTTCGTAATATCATATGACGATAGGGAAATAAACGTATGGGTCTACATTCGCGCCATCCGCTCTACATTGTTAAGTACAAGGTAGCCTATATTACACTACCAAAGAGTGAAAACAAAAATAGTCCCAAATTTTCCTGAACGAGGGTTTCAGTCCTCGCGTGCAGTGTACTTCCATGGGAGGCACCTAGCCAAACAAACAGTGGGCAGTGACAACTGGGTGCCACACACACACAACCGTGAACAACAACAAAATCCAGTCAGCAAATGGGGTAAAAAAATCTACAAAGTAAAAAACAAAAAGACCAAAGTCTGAGAACCGAATCCTGCATGCATGCATGCAAAGTTTAACTGCCATCAGTGTAAAGGAATCGGCAGGGACTGGCGTGGTCATCTCACAAGTTCTGTGGCATCGGACAAGTGTGCTCTCAACTTGAGAACCTGTGCCCGCTCGCTAAGTGCAAAGATATAACTGTTGGTTCGCGACATGACACCCGCGTTAGCCCGAGGGGTTCCCAGCGAGAGAGTAGAAAACCGAGAAAATGGAGAATGAAGAGGTGAATCTTAAGACATTACCCAAAGCGGGGAGGGGAGATTTAGGGTAAAAATTGAAGAGGATACTGACATAAGCACAAACTCGCAGTTTCCATCAACTTATTATATAGTTCCTTTCTTTTTCAAATAGTGTGCAGTGCATGGTCCAAACACAATATGCGTCCAGCCATTCAGGAAAACAAACATATTCTCCACCTACACACACTCATGTCTAACCGGCACCAAAGTACACCCAAGCTCATGTGACAGAGAGTAATATTGGTTTCATCTTATCATAAATGTGTCACGCCCTGCTGACACGTGGGTGGTTAGCGGGCGCTCTGGTCAGGTTTGCTCATTTCCCCATCAAATATATTATTTTATCACCAGCATCTCCCCTCCTCCTCTTCTTCCTATTTATGTTACTCTCTAGTAACACCTCTAACCTTGGCACTTTAGTGACCTAATGGTGTTGCAAAAGCCGCAAAACTCTTACAACAACTAAACCATCGACACAATTCAGATACTTTATGGACAGGCTGCTTCGATCTCATCTAGCAGGACCAAGCCTAGCTGAGACGGATATAAACTGAGGAAGACAATCGATTTGGAAAAAAAGCACCTTCCCACACGAGATTCAAACTCACATTGTGTGCGTGCAACAGCTAAGAGCCTAACCTTTACATCACAGACGTCAGTCGTATTAATGAGTCTTTAAAGGAATCAGAAAAGCTTTTCACAAAAAAGAGCATTGGAGCCTAACTCTCTTTATGTTGCGTTGGCGACATCTTCATCAATCAATGGCATAGAAACGGAAAGCGCCTACAACAGAACAAAAAACAAGCATCCTCTCGGGAGGGATACGAACAAAACTTCTTAGTTCCCATCTTATCGCTCAGCAAAACGTGAAGAAAGCTTTAATGAGGAATACGGAAAGTAATGAAAGAGACCATCAACATTTCATTATTGTCGACGAGGGTGGGGTTTTTTTGTGTCTTTTCTTTTTTTCGTTTTTGTTTTTGTTCTGGGGGGTTTTCCTCACGGGTGTGAGGGAAGAGAGAG